GAAGCATCACAGGTACAACACTGGTGGGAAGCATCACAGGTACAACACTGGTGGGAGGCATCACAGGTACAACACTGGTGGGAGGCATCACAGGTACAACACTGGTGGGAGGCATCACAGGTACAACACTGGTGGGAGGCAACACAGGTACAACACTGGTGGGAAGCATCACAGGTACAACACTGGTGGGAAGCATCACAGGTACAACACTGGTGGGAGGCATCACAGGTACAACACTGGTGGGAGGCATCACAGGTACAACACTGGTGGGAGGCATCACAGGTACAACACTGGTGGGAAGCATCACAGGTACAACACTGGTGGGAGGCATCACAGGTACAACACTGGTGGGAGGCATCACAGGTACAACACTGGTGGGAGGCATCACAGGTACAACACTGGTGGGAGGCAACACAGGTACAACACTGGTGGGAAGCATCACAGGTACAACACTGGTGGGAGGCATCACAGGTACAACACTGGTGGGAAGCATCACAGGTACAACACTGGTGGGAAGCATCACAGGTATAACAACTGGTGGGAGGCATCACAGGTACAACACTGGTGGGAGGCATCACAGGTACAACACTGGTGGGAAGCATCACAGGTACAACACTGGTGGGAGGCATCACAGGTACAACACTGGTGGGAGGCATCACAGGTACAACACTGGTGGGAGGCAAACTGGAAAGTGCCACAACAAAACGTCTCGGCTCTTGCTCCTTGATCTTCCAGTTCTGAGAAACCATGTAGTCAGAATATATGAAGTAACTGGCGTCTCTGTTACCCCAAGTCCACTTTTCCAATTTCATTTCTCCGTGTTTTACCATAAAGGACAATTTATGTCACCCGATTACGTATCATCAACCTTGGTGTTAATGCTGTGAACAACGACTGTGTTCAAGAAGCGTTAAAACCGCAGGGGTCACACAGCGCCTGGGGAATGGAAGGATATCAAGTTTGATACCAGTAAGGTGAAGAGGATAGCTCTAATTCCTTGGGACAAGAGCCCTTCGCTGGAACTGCTGGCTCCCATGATGGGAACAATGATATACTAGGATTATCCAGAGACAGTCACATGATTAGTGTCACCACAACACCAGATAATGTCGTCTTCACGAAGCTGACGCTATAGCGACCCAGAGCCGAAGTAACATTTTGTTGGCCCCTGCTGGGCTACAATTACTGTGAGGCTCCCATTGATATTTTCAAGAGGGAAAATCTTAAAGAAACGTTAAATTTATTTTTACAAGGCTAATCACAAATAAAATTCAAACTTTTGCTTCGCGTAATTTCTTGGAAACAAATTTCTCCAAAAATCAGTAAACTGTAAGTTACGAGCATTTCTGGGTCTTCCAGGTGGCCGAGGCCCCAGGGCGGCAGCCCCACTGGCCGAGGCCCCAGGGCGGCAGCCCCACTGGCCGAGGCTCCTGGGCGGCAGCCCCCCAGTGGCCGAGGCTCCTGGGCGGCAGCCCCCCAGTGGCCGAGGCTCCTGGGCGGCAGCCCCCCAGTGGCCGAGGCTCCTGGGCGGCAGCCCCCCAGTGGCCGAGGCTCCTGGGCGGCAGCCCCACTGGCCGAGGCTCCTGGGCGGCAGCCCCCCAGTGGCCGAGGCCCCAGGGCGGCAGCCCCCCAGTGGCCGAGGCCTCTGGGCGGCAGCCCCCCAGTGGCCGAGGCCTCTGGGCGGCAGCCCTCCAGTGGCCGAGGCCTCTGGGCGGCAGCCCCCCAGTGGCCGAGGCCTCTGGGCGGCAGCCCCCCCAGTGGCCGAGGCCTCTGGGCGGCAGCCCCCCCCCAGTGGCCGAGGCCTCTGGGCGGCAGCCCCCCAGTGGCCGAGGCCTCTGGGCGGCAGCTCTTAATTAAAGCCCATGCCTTAATCTGGCCCTGCAGTGACCACTATATTGATCACTGTGGCACAACTGAGCTCTATAAGATTCTAAATCGACTGTTGCTACATTCTACATTCGCCACTGTAACATTTAACACTAACGACACACAGTACTAAACGCGTAGGGCCGACTGAGGAATGAAAGACAGTCGATCCAAAACAGGACGGGATGTCTCTAGTTCCTTTTATCAACAGTCCTTCACCGGCATCAAGACATTCCTCGCCTGAAGGGAGAAAGACATGTTAAAATACCTACCTTGTAACCTGTGAACTGCATCAATATTTTTATTATTTTGTTCCGGAATTATTAACGAGGCACATAGGTTAGGCTTCTTAAATTGTGTCCACAGCTAGGATAACAATATAGCCTAGGCTTCAGGACAGTACCTACATTCGTAGCTCCGTGGTTCGATCCCCTGTACGTGTGGAAACATTGGGACAAGTTTCCTCAAGACACCTGCTGTCCATGTTCACCTAGCAGTAAGCAGGTACCTGGGTGTTAGTCGACTGATGTAGGTCGCATCCTGGGGCCAAAATTAACCCAAGTTGACCGAAATGCTCTGCATAACCAGGCGAGTTTTGTATAGTACGTCACTGATGTCACCTATGGTCTATATTAGCCGTGTCATGTACTTGTAGACATAAAAGATCATTATTATTATTAGGTTTTGTCGTTGACGAATACAGGTATTAGCAATGCAGCGACACTCCTCTAAGACAGCAGTTTGCCGAGCCTACTAATGAGCGAGTTGCATCATGTATCAGTTTACATTCAACGTGAACTTTAATACGTCCAGGAAAATGATAGGGAAAGACATCAAGTGTGATGGAGTATACGGGAAAACCATTCTACGTGATGGAGTATCATAGGATAACCATCTTGTGTGATGGCATATGACAGGAAAGCTATCCTGTATGATGGTGTATGCCAGGAAAACCATCCTGTGGTATGACGTATGACAAAAACCATCCTGTCGCATGACGCATAACAAAAACCATCTTGTGGTATGACGTATGACAGAAAAACCATCCTCTGGTATGACGTATGACAGAAAAACCATCCTGTCGCATGACGCATGACAAAAAACCATCCTGTGGTATGACGCATGACAAAAACCATCCTGTGGTATGACGCATGACAAAAACCATCCTGTGGTATGACGCATGACAAAAACATCCTGTGGTATGACGCATGACAAAAACCATCCTGTGGTATGACGCATGACAAAAACCATCCTGTGGTATGACGCATGACAAAAACCATCCTGTGGTATGACGCATGACAAAAACCATCCTGTGGTATGACGCATGACAAAAACCATCCTGTGGTATGACGCATGACAAAAACCATCCTGTGGTATGACGCATGACAAAAACCATCCTGTGGTATGACGCATGACAAAAACCATCCTGTGGTATGACGCATGACAAAAACCATCCTGTGGTATGACGCATGACAAAAACCATCCTGTGGTATGACGCATGACAAAAACCATCCTGTGGTATGACGCATGACAAAAACCATCCTGTGGTATGACGCATGACAAAAACCATCCTGTGGTATGACGCATGACAAAAACCATCCTGTGATATGACGTATGACAAAAACCATCCTGTGATATGACGTATGACAAAAACCATCCTGTGATATGACGTATGACAAAAAACCATCCTGTGATATGACGTATGACAAAAACCATCCTGTAGTATGACGCATGACAAAAACCATCCTGTAGTATGACGCATGACAAAAACCATCCTGTGGTATGACGTATGACAAACAATCCTGTGGTATGACGTGCGGAAGGACATCCATCCTGTGTACTGGAGAATGGAAACCAGGGTGTGTACTGGGGAATGGAAACCAGGGTGTGTACTGGGGAATGGAAACCAGGGTGTGTACTGGAGAATGGAAACCAGGGTGTGTACTGGAGAATGGAAACCAGGGTGTGTACTGGAGAATGGAAACCAGGGTGTGTACTGGAGAATAATGATAATTGTGTGGTTTACAACGAAAAATATCACCCCGTTTATTAGCGAATGATAAATTATCCTGGGCGATGGAGAATAATAATTATCCTGTGTCATGGTCAGGGTTAAACCATACTGTCATAATGTAAATAAAAACAAAAACATCTTGTTTGATGGAACATGACAGAAAAAATTGTCCTACTATGAAAGAACACGAGGAAAAAAAATCTTTTTTTTTTTTTTGGGGGGGGGGGGAGGGGGTTTCCTTGATCATTTATGTTACTATGATAATTTGTGTAAATATCTGTGTGTACCTGTACCTAGATAAACTTGCTAGTTCTAACCTTGTAAAATATCAGATATGGGCAGTCACAGAGTGGTGCTTGCAATTCTGAGGTATATTATAATCATGGGGGAGCGTTAAACCAGTAGGATTATACTGCGCCTGTAGGGAGGATGGAAGGCATTCAGGGAACTGTAGCATAGATCCAGTTCCCTAGATCAAGAGCCCATCACCAGCGTCAAGGAACCTCCTTTGAGGAGACTTCTGGGTGTAAACAGCCAGTAAATGTTTTTTTTTTAAATTATGACCCCCCCCTAAATTAATAGGTGTTAAGGATTAAAGGCAACTTTTTTTCATTACATTTATGATTTTTTGACAATTTAATACTATGGATGATTTTTTTCCCTGCCTTTTTTTTTTTTTTACCATATGCAAACTATTTTGTACTTAGTGCTGGGACAGAATGTATATATTTTTTAATAGCATTATTACTGTTTAACCTACGGTAATTATAAAATATTTTTCAATTTTACTATTTTTTATTATTAGTTTTTATTATATTTCATTATTTTATCATTATTGTGGGGAAATACTCGTCATATTCAATAAACCTTGACGGGCATGATAACACTGCCTTTAAATGGCTACATAATAGGAAAAAAGTTATAAATACTTACAAAAAACAATGGTCTATCAAGACATAAGGTACATCAACACAAATCAATGAACGTAAGAATGGAGGAACACTGCAGAAGGCCTACTGGCCCATACAAGGCAGGTCCTTATCAAAACTACCATAATGTAAACCAGTATGGTGTGATATGGAATATTAGAGGGTAACAGCTGGTGGTATCCAGCACTTACCTTATTATGAATGAACATAGTGTTGGGAATCCCTTACACACATGCGTAGAGTGGCAAGATACGCCTCCAGAAGGCCACTTCAACCACCTGTTACAGCACACTCCACTCACTAGTAAACCAACTCCTCACATCACTTATTTGTCCAGCGAGTACCCTTATTAGCGCCAACTCTGTAATGTTAAAGAGCAGCTGATCTGTGATGGCTGGAGAGGTAAATCAGAGGAGGATGATAGTAAGGTTGTCCTCACACGACGGCTGTGTAGCCAGCACTCAACCCTCAGCACCAGCAACACTGAACGTCCCTCACTAGTCACTCTGGGTTGCCAGTCTTGCTAGTATTGTCAAACTGTGTATAGTTATAGTTTTAGCCCAAGTCGAGTGCTAGTTACTTATTTCTTTTAGTCATGTATACAGTGAATTTGTATGAGTGGGATACAAGGACCCTAATAGAAATAAATCACTGACTTTTTTGGGGTATGATAGGCAATTTACACATGTTACTATGTATCATAATTTGTGTAATTGTGTTTATGTATTTCTGTATCTAGATAAACTTACTTTATATATTGTACAGGTTTTTTTCAGTGTCATAGTGTTTAAAAGAAATTATGTGTCGATAACATAAATGTGTCTTTTTTTCAGACGTCTACAAAAAATTCTTCACTGTTGTCGACCAAGTCTTCAGATGCCTGTAAATTTTCTCTGCTGTCGACCTATTACGCATTACATTATGTGCGTATGAGATCATCTTCATTGTGCGTTTAATCAGTGATCAACTTGCAACAAACATTAAGATTGCAATAGTCCAACTGGTTGACCACAAGCATGTGTCTTATTAAAAATAATCACACACACACACACACACACACACACATATATATATTAGTTAAAATCAACTTGGAAATATTTTTATTGGGAGAAGGGCAATATAAAAAATAGTTTCAATTAGAGCGTCTGGAACTGGTTGACAACGTGTTCCGGCGAGTACAAACAAGAGTACGTCACATGGACACTCCAGGATGCGGCGTTGCCAACACTACAACTGTCATGCACGAGCTTACTTAATATTCCCACATAAAAAAAACAGTAATTGCAATGCACAGAAGAATGAGGAAAGATGTATCGGTTAAATATATCACAGACCTGGTCGTCAAGGCCTCCATGGCACTGAAACCTTCTTCCTACCTCCCTCTCCTACCTCTTCTTCATGACCTCGTTCTCTGTTATCTATAGTTGTACAAGTCAGCCACGCTGACATCAGTGACATATTGTATAGAAAGTCCCTTGTTATGCAGAGCATTTCGGGCAAATTAAGTCAGTTTTGTCCCCAGGATGCCACTCACACCAGTCGACTAACACCCTGGTACCTATTTTACTGCTAGGTGAACATGGACAGCAGGTGTCTTGAAGAAAAACGTCCTAATGTTTTTATCAGTACCGGGGATCGAACCACGGACCTCAGTGTGTGAGCTGAGTGAGCTACCACTCGAGCTCAGTGGATGCAAGTCACTTCGACTTTTTTGGGGGTAGGGGGGTTATCTTAGGTAATTTACATATAAATTATGTAAGACAGTTGTAATCATCCAGATATTGAACAGTTTTAAGTTACCCCCTCAAGGGAGGTTCCTTGATGCTGTGTAAGGGATCTTGATGCGAAAAGTCCGACCTGTCCTCTCTTTTCTCGGCTCAAACGGATTTAGCGCTTCCCCTAATATTATAACAATAATAATGATAAATTGTTTTGCAGGATGCATTCAGTTTTTAAGGTTGTTCTCCCGATAACTGCGCTAGTTGCAGTGTGTTATCACTGTCGTTTTGGCTCAGTGACATCTGTTGTCACTGTCGGTCGACTGCGTTGTTACTTGTGTCGGCTCAGTGACGTCTGTTGTTGATGTTAGTTGCCTGTGTGCTGTCACTGTTGTGTTTTTCATTGACGTCTGGCATCACTGTTGTTGTGTTGGTTCATTGATGTCTGGCGTTGCTGTTGTTGTGTTGGTTCATTGATGTCTGGTGTCATTGTTGTTGTGTTGGTTCATTGATATCTGTTGTCACTGTTGTACTAGTTCAATAATATCTGTTTTCACTCTTGTGCTGGTTCAGCATTGTGTGTTGTAACTGTTGCGTTGGTTTCTAGTTGTCTGTTGTTACTGTTGTGCTGGTTCAGTGATGTGTGTGTTATCACTGTCGTTGTGTGGATTCACTTATGTCTGTTGTGCTGATTCTTTGATGCCTCTTGTTACTCTCGACTCGTTCGCTGGAAGCGTTCATCTCACTGTTTGGATAAGACTTACAGTGTTCGTGTTTAGATATAAACCAGTTTTTTTTTTGTTGTTGCTGTAAGAACTAGGTTAAACCTTTCTCTATTTTCTGCTTCATATGTAAGGGGTAAGGTCCCACCTCCCTCCCCCCATAAAACGTTATCAGTGTTGGTTTTTCTTCATTCTTAACTCTCTACATGACACTGACACTACACACTGATCTCAGACATGGCATTACCACAGCCTCCAGGCTGCAACACTCAAGCAATGTGTATTACACTCAGACCACATCTTTGGTACCACTACATTCTGGTGCATTCCTCTGTTGCATCCACTGGGAAACTCTCTTTATTTAGGTTTATATATTTTATACACAAATAGCCCGCACATAGGAGAGAGGAGGAGCTTACCACGACGTTTCGGTCCTAATCGGACCATTTACAAAGTCACACATTTACAAAGTCACAGTGTGACTTTGTAAATAGTCCAAGTTGGACCGAGACGTTGTTGTAAGCTCCTCCTCTCTCCTATGTGCAAGTTAACATAGAACATAAGAAAGGGGGAGCACTGCAGCAGGCCTGTTGACCCAGTTGTTCCAGTCACGGTATTGTTCCAGTCACGGTATTGTTCCAGTCACGGTATTGTTCATTCTTATTCTTTATGTTTATGTAGGTTTTCGTGGTTTTCAAACTGATACAGTATAAACAACTATAATATTAAAAAAATAGGAAGGAAGGAAGGAAGAAAGGAAGGAAGGAAGGAACGTGTGACATTTGAAATTCTCGCTCGGTTCTTGGTAGTACGAAGCCATTAAGAACCTACATATCACTTGGAATATAACTGTATAACAAAAATAAAAACCAATAACACAAACAGAACACAAATATAATCTGTTAATGATGAGTGATATACCCAGCAACACACCTGTCAAACTGGTAAACAGTGGATGGTATTCCTTGCAATGCTCCAGTGTAGTTGAAGGCACTCCACTAGATAATGCACTAGATAATACACTAGATAATACACTAGATGAATGGAGGGACTATAAACTGGTAAAACTTCCGCCTACCTTCGTCACAATCCACGACTCTCCGCAAAAGTTCTGCAATCAGCCAAATCTCACAGACAGTGTAACAAACTTAGTTTAGCGGATTTGATGGTCAGAAACCCTCTAAGGCACTAAAAAATGGTACGCAGAACTGACTGCTTTACTCATAATTGTAAAATTTCTTAGTATTGTTAAGTGGTTATGTTACACTGGTAACTAGTGGAAATTTCAGATTTCGCCGGAGTTGTGTTGATGAAATATTATTTAGCCATAAATGAATATTCTGGAGTAAACACTACTCCAGACCAATTTTTTTTTCCAATAAAAAAACGTTTAACACTTCGTTCAAACCATACCACGAGTGGGGATAGAACCCGCGATCAGAGAGTCAGATCGCGGGTTCTATCCCCACCCGTGGTATGGTTTGTTTGCAATCGTGTCATTACGATTTCGTGATTCACTTCGTTCAGTTTTTTGTATGACTGGCTGCCCAGGAGACCTTCGATTGCTGTTAATGTTAACTCAGTTGCTAGGTTAATATGCTCTCTGGAGCAACAATTCAATTGACTATGGAACTGAACTTCTCCAGGCCGAGGGACTGACAACCTCAAATTCTACGACTTTAAGGGTGATGGACTGATTACATCGTCTTCACATCTCTACTGTTCCTGCCTACTTTCTGTATTCGACTGATGAAGCCTACTGTGTAGGCGAAACGTTTCGGAATAAAGTTGTCTAACTGTTGCATATGTGTCTTACCTAACAAATATTTTAATGTCTCAGTGAGTTCCTCTCACTGTTTTGTACCTAAAATTTACATCTTTTTTCATATTTAATTTTTCACGAACGTTTGTCAACATTAGGATCTGGACTACTGTTAATATTGTATGATCTCATGGCTTTAATGGTGACTCGAAGTACTTTATGTGCCTAAAAATTATTAATTTATAAGCAGTAAATTTAATTTTTTTGGCACCTTAACATGTAAAGTCAAGATTTTTCACATGTACAACGTATACAGCCCAGAGCTAACAACAATGACATGTCATATACAAAGAGCATACCGGACAAATTATGACAGTTTTGTCCCAGGATGCGACCCACATTAGGCGACTAACACCCAGGTACTTATTTTACTACTAGGCGAACAGGGACAGAAGGTGCCTTAAAGAAACACCCTAATGTTTCCACCTGTACCGGGGATCGACCCCCAGACCTCTGTGTGATAGCAACCTAGCTACAGGACATTCATCAATTTCTGATACATTTACCTAACTAAACCTGTAGTTAGGTTAGGTAAGGTTCGTCAGGAAACAGGACAAATGTTTCCTCACACGGGACTTAGATGATGACCCGCCTTTGGAACTTTTGGTCATCTGACCGACGCCTTCCGCTGGCTTACCGGTCCACCCCTTTAAAAATTATGGTCAAATAAAACCATTTTTGCATCTTTGTTAAACCTGCAGTTTAATGACCAGAAAGAACTTTCCATTCCTGAGTTTCCTCTTATAACTTCTTACATTGTGGAGTTTTCCCTAGAAGGACGTGTTTGAACGGTGCCGAAGCTGAAGGACGTGTTTGAACGGTGCCGAAGCTGAAGGATGTGTTTGAACGGTGCCGAAGCTGAAGGACGTGTTTGAACGGTGCCGAAGCTGAAGGACGTGTTTTGAACGGTGCCGAAGCTGAAGGACGTGTTTGAACGGTGCCGAAGCTGAAGGACGTGTTTGAACGGTGCCGAAGCTGAAGGATGTGTTTGAACGGTGCCGAAGCTGAAGGATGTGTTTGAACGGTGCCGAAGCTGAAGGATGTGTTTGAACGGTGCCGAAGCTGAAGGACGTGTTTGAACGGTGCCGAAGCTGAAGGACGTGTTTGAACGGTGCCGAAGCTGAAGGATGTGTTTGAACGGTGCCGAAGCTGAAGGACGTGTTGAACGGTGCCGAAGCTGAAGGACGTGTTTGAACGGTGCCGAAGCTGAAGGATGTGTTTTGAACGGTGCCGAAGCTGAAGGACGTGTTT